AGCAATAACGGGACCAATATTCTCCGCCAAGGTCTGAACGCAGTCGTACAGGATGTACATGTTTCTGTCCTTGTACCGGGCAAAACACTGGACGAACTGCTGCAGAATAGGGATGCAATAGGGCTCGAGAACCTTTCCGGACTTCTCTTCAAGGTTGGCAAAAGCGGATGCCGCAGCTTCTTGGACCTTCTTGTTCTTGTCGAGCATCTTGCGGAGGATGCCTTCCATCATGGGCTCAAAGTAGGTGACCTTTTGGTTCTGGTCGAGGTTCGCGGCCCACTGTGAGTAGCGGCCGAGCGTCCAGCAGGTAATCTGCCTGACAATGGGCTCGTCGTCTCCGAGAAGTGAGAGGAGGTAGGGGACAAGCTCCGGCAGGTGGGGAGTAACGGCGTTGATGGTTCCCTCAGCGACTGCGCCAAGAGCGAGGACAGCAGCCTCTCTGTATTGCCACTCTTCGTGCTTGAGGTTGCTCGTCAGGTACGGGAGAATCGCAGTGAAGACGGGATCGGAAAAGTCACGCGCAAAGACGTCGAGAGCAGCGGCGGAGCACTTGCGGATAGTCCAGCGTTCGTCGGGGTTCTCGTCGCCATCGTCAAGGTCGTCAATCTCGCCCTCTTCCAGATCATCGTCCATGCTAGCCAGCTTCTCGTAGGCATTTCCGTTCTGGGCGGTATCGGCTGAGGCCTCGCCACCCTTACCCCTGGCCGCCGACTTCTTGGCGAATTGAGGCTTGATGTCCTCCTCACGGTCTTCTTCTTCCTCGTCGTCTGATGCACCACCGAGAAGGGCAATATCCTCCCCACTGTAGACCATGCACTCCAGCAACACGGGGATGATCTTGTCGAGGTAGGGCGTCAGGGAGCGCCACAGGTCCTCATGCTCGCCAACAGCCAGCCAGAATTCGGCGGCTTCGCACGCCAGATCTTCGTCATCACTCTTCTGTTGGGTGATGATGTAGTCGACGAGGCCGGCAATGTGGGGCTGCAGCTTGTCGGGACGGGTCTCGACCAGCTGGACGAAGGCGTGGCACACCTGGCGGCGCACATCGGGGTGCTGGTCGCCAGCCAGGATGAAGAGGTGGTTGAGGAGGCTGTCGATGTTGTTGAGCATGGCCTGAGACTTGCGCGGGGTGAAGACGTTGATGGCAGTCAGGGCCTTTGCGCGGACCTTGGGCAGCTCGCTCTTAGTAGCCTCGATAAACTTGGGAAGCAAAAAGTTCAGAGGGCGTTGACCATTGTGCTCGCGCTCCAAAACCTTGACGTTGTCCTCGCAAATCTTGGCCATAGCGGACATGGCGCCCTCCTGGCCTTCGTTGGAAACCTGACCGTTCTCGTTGGAAATGAGGCTGAGCAGCTGGGGAAGCAATTCAGGCCAGCTCAAGATACCACCTCTCCTGATGATCTCGGTCGCGATGTTGCCGGCGTAGTTGCGGACTTGGGAGTTCTTGTCTTGGATACCGAGGGGAACGGCCATCTTGATGAGGGCCAAGCTGTTCTCGGGGATCTGCTTGTAACTGGTGCGCACGTTGTTCTTCAGCATGATGGCGGCGGCAGAGCGCACGAGGTGGAAGTCTTGGGCTGAGCATTGTACACCCTGGGGAGGATCAGCTCTGGAGAAGAGGTAGGCGAGGTAGTTGTTGAAGTCGGGAGAGGCCTTGGCCTGCGTGAGCATCTGCGCATCAATGGCGGTTAGCAAGGGTCGCAATGGGCGAAGGGAACGAATGGTGGGCAACTCACGATCTCTGCCTGCTTCTGCGCATTCTTGTCGAATCCGCTGAGCGAGTCCTTGAGGCAAGCAGCCAGCTGGCTCAAGGACTCTGGGGTCGGCTGCCAGGCCATGACTGGCGCCTTTCTGGGGGTAGTTTGGAAAAAGAGATGTTAGACCAAAGCTGGCGACTTGTGAGGTGGTCGAGAATCGGGGGAGGATTCGAGCGACGGAGCGATGGTGTGAGGTCGATCGGTCGGGTGGTTGTCGAGCACGGCGGGAGGGTAGAGAGGGGCAGTCGTTGAAGTTGTTCGGCCAGGGCCACGGTCAGTAGTGAGGGCAGTGGGCGTTGACATTGGCGACTGGCAACACACTGACTGGCGAAATGGTGGGGTCGGCCTGTCAGCTTTTTTTTCGCGATAACTATGGTGCGGCGGAGTAGCGGGTAATAGGTAAGGTACCTCTGCACGAGACCGCCTCCTAACGGTACCTTGGATATGGTATTTTGAGCGGACGGAGAAGGGCCAATGCGACTCAGGAGAAGGTACCTTGGGCAGAGGTGGGATCAGTGAAGGTCCCCGGTCCAGGAAGCACAGAGTCGCAGCGCTAGTGGTCCGTCGTAGCGCATCTGGGCCCGTACCGTGGACGGTACGCCGTAATAAGGTCAGGTAGTCGTAGCGAGGGCACGCCGCACTGCAGCTTTCATCTCAGTATCATGTTACCTTTACGCAAAGACAGCTAAGGTATCTATACAGTAAGGTAGGTGCGTTGGCCCCCAAATGGCCTGCTTTCTGTGGGCGAGATGACGGGTTTGAGGCGTCTGTTTTCCGTTCGAATGACCTGAGCAGGTGAGGCAGGCAAGGAAGGTGGTCAGGAGGGCAGATGCACATGTGCGAGTGAGAAGTACAGCAAGTACTAATTTTAGCCGTGCCGTGTCGTCTTCTCTCTCTGAGGTCTGTCCATCCCAACAGTCGTGGCGATGAATATACAAAAGTTTAATGTGCTGAGCTGTCATCTGTGTATCAGTGTCGTGTAGAAGAACATGTGTGTATCGATTGCCTGCCCTCTCCTCTCTAACCACGAGCCTCTTTCCTCGTTGTCTCCAGCAATCAGGCAGATATATATATGTCACTGTATGTACGGGTACCTGTTCACCACTCGATAACGGGAAAGCAGGCTGTGAATGGGGTTGGGGTTTTGGGGCAGAAGCCATAGGAGGAGTCCGATGGGATGAATAGGTGGAAACGTCTAAAATGGCAGGCAGTTAGAAAACCGGGAAAACGATACGGTAAGGGATGGGAACTCAAGACGGTTGCAGACGGCAAAGTAAATGTGTAAAATGGAGGGTGGTCCGTCCTGCTGGTCGGTCCTTCCGCCGATGTAGGATGTGTGTCGGTCTCACACTCCGTCCAGTCCAGGTACTTGTGGTCCTTCCACAAGCTGCACTGCTGCCCACCATGAGGAGAAAAAATCTTGAGCTCATGGAACTGTGGACGAATGGAGTTCCGTCTTCCTCTCGCAGACTGCAGTACCTTTACTTTATGGCCCGTGCTTTTTCCTACCCCTCGTTCCTCCTGCGTCGACCAGATGGGGCAGGCACGGCAGGCTCTCCCCCACCACGCCATGTCGATAAAGTCTGTCGCTCCTGCCAGGGTTCACTTTTATCTCAGACAGCACGTGGGTCACGCTTGCTCTTGCCGTTGTGCCTCAGCGCTGGAATTCGAAAGAAAGTTTCCAACATCTTCGATTTGCCGCCTCGTAAGCACGCCAACTCCAGTCCAGCATTGGGGTCGAGTTGAAAGTCTTGAACTAGTGGATGATCTTCTCAGGGTAGAATCTGGGACAACTGACTTGGAACACGCGAAAGAAGAGACCTTGACCGACCCCTGCAACTGTCAACTAACCCCTTGAGAACGAGCACTTGCTTGCATCTTTTCTCTCTTTTTGACGTTGCCAGAAATGCGGTGGGACCCCACAAACGTCGCACAGGCCTCAGAAAACATTAATTCGTGCACACCGCAAGTGACAATATCCTCCCATAGCCATTCGTATACTGTAGACACTTCCTATCCCCTCGACAACTCTAGATCTGTTGAATCCTTAGATGGGGAAAAGGAGGCGAGGATCAAACCCCGAGGGTTCAACCTGAAGTCGCAAGGGGTATTCCGCCCCCTACCCGCCCCCCTTTCTTTGGAAGGTGGACTTTACAATGACAACTCTCTCTCTGCGTCTGGCAGGGCGGGATTCATCAACCCAAAATTCTGAGCCGCACGTTCCCAGTCTTCTTGCCTTCGCGAGTCATCACCGTTAAGTCGCCGGCTCAGCGAAGGTGGTTGCTTTATCACTCGAGGCCCCCCAGTTCAAGGTATTACGTGCAGATCCTGTGACGCCCGTCAGAGCGCTTCCCGTACCTCAACTCTACGGGAGTGTTCTTCTGTAAGATAAAGAGAAAGAGAAAGAAGGAGGGAAGAGGTTAAACAAAAAAATTCATGAGCCGAACTTCTACCACGAAACAGGACAAAACAATCTTAAATGAGAACCATGTGGCCGAAATCAACGGACGACTACAAGCTCAGATTGCTCGGGCACGTCTTAGCCACGTTCTAGACTCGGAGAGCGACCACCTTCCAGAGATTCCAGAAGAAAGTCAAAACGTCGAACCACGAGAAGCAGCAATTGTGAGATCAGTTTTCAGAACATTCGTAGGTTCCAGAACGCCATAGTCTCCTACGTCGCATACCAAACTCCATCCAGATCACTTGCATTATTTGCACACACTGTCATAGCGGCTTCGAGCGCAGCCTCGTAGAAGAACTAGAGATGGCGGTCCTTGTTGTCTATGACGTTGGGTCCATCGCTGTCGTCCCCTTAACATTCGTCGCGCCGTACAAACTTCTCACCGGTTCGTGATGATGCGCTTCTCCCTCCCTCGCCTCTCGCACAGTCAGCCCGGCAACCCCGTATGCGAAGCCGAACGGCCCGAAGCCACATGTGGGACATCACCCCTCGGTCCGCTGCGTCCAGACCCCGGGCCCCCCTCGTGAGCCCGGCACGCCGCATGTCCAACATCCCCAAGCCTTTGTATGACTGTCACCCAATCCGCTTCAGGAAGTCGCAAGCAGCGAGGGCCTCACCCCTGTTCGCTCCCGCTCCCGCTCCCTCCAGAGATCGCAAGTGGCGGCCGATGAAATACGGTCAACAAAGGGCGGGAGATTTGGAACTTTGCGACGTAAGTCTGTAGAGCAGAAGCCCCCTTACGCCATAATATCGCTACTGAGAGTTGGGTGCGTGTGTGTTCAAGCACCGTTGACCAAGGGCTCTCCCTTGAGTTTTGCCGTGACGACGTCGACGATGGCCCGGAACGCCTCCATCTCCTCCTCCACCGAGAGGCTCATAGCCGCGCCGCCCAGGTTGATGGAGCAGCCTACGTAAACGGGCATGTTGGACCTCTTGGCTAGCAGCTTGGCCATCCTCGTTGTGAACTCCAGCGTCGACTCCACAGAGTAAATGGCAGTTGAGATGGGCTGAGCCGGCTCAAGTCTCTTTGTTTGTGTGTCAGTGAAAAAAAAGCTTGTATTGGTAGATTTGCCATTTGCTTTGGTGGCATGTGGGAGGGAACATACGTTTGGTAGTGCGTATACGAACGAGCCAAGTGCCGCTAGCCCCGACTGTTCGTCTTGCGTCACTGAGGTCAGAAAGAGGGTTGCCACCTTGGCCTTGGTGCTGAGGTGAATGTGGATGCGGGTGTCGAGGGAGTGGGGCAGCGGAATCGAGAGCTGCGTGACGGTGCCCGTAGAAGCCATTTTGCAAGCTTTTAAGTGAGGTTGGATTCAGCTGGGTGAGAAATGTTGCTTAAAGTTCATCGAGTGAGGTTGGAGATGTAAACGCTATGGAGTGTGGAGTAGAGGGATTGGTGCCGAAAAGCGCATGCGCACTGTGTTTGTACTGTGATCTCCAACACCATCATGTAAAACCCTGGATATTCGGGATGTTTACTTTGCAACGCCATATTGTGTTCCTAGATGCGTTGGGAACCTCGTTTAAAATGCCTCATTATATTCGTCGTTCATGGAGGAGTAGATAAAATATGGGATCTCTAGTTATCGTGTATTGGATCAGGCCCACGATACACTGAGAGGTCGCAAGCACTCTGATCGCGATATAATCAACTTGGCATCTCCAAGCTGTCACATACGACCATACCCATTGGAAAACTCGGGATCCCGTCCGCTCTCCCATAGATAAGCCAGTGAGGGCCGGATTAGTAGTTGGGTCGGTGACGACCAGCGAATACCTGGTGTTGTATGTTTTTGTTTTGCTTTGGATGACCTTCTACTATTGAAGACGGAGGTGAGAACCTAAGGGATCAGCTTATTTCCGCTAGACGTCCGGATCTCAGTGGGGTGGCCTCTCTTTTTCTCAGGTATACATGTTTGTTGTCCCTATGTGACTCTTCTCTATGGGGTTTAGGATGGCGCCTAAACGTACACAGCTATAATACAAGTATCCTACAGGAGGAACGGGAAAAGGCGATCTGAACACCTGGGAAGCTCGCCCTCTCCCCCTCCATTGCTTCACCGTTGATGACTCTTCCCTTATGAGCTTATTGTCGTTTCCTTTTCAAGCAATACCTCAGTCTCGGGGACAGATGTAGTCTCAGAAATAGCTACACCCTCGTCCACGCTCTCCTCTAGCTTGGCAGCTGTCGGAGGCAGCTTTGTAAACACCGCAACAAAGCCGCCCCCGACCACTCGCGATCCGACCTTGGGCCGACAAACGATCCCCCTCGCCGCCGCACCCGTCTCGCCCCTCTCAATCGCCTTGCGAATATTCACAACCTTGACGTCCCAGTTCCGACCGCCCGTGCCGTCCTGGAACATGTCATCGCCCGACGTCGACGTCTGCAGCTCTACGACGCGGTCCTGCACCAGCGGTTGCTCCGTGTCCTTGGCCCAGACGACAAAGTCGAGGATCTGCGTGATGGACGGGAAGAAGATGACGACCTTCCCGTCGGGCTGGAGGGCCTTGACGGCCAACTCGGCGTAGTCCTGCGAAGCCGGGAGGTCGAGGATCACGTGCGAGAGGAACGCCTCGCCTCCGTTCTGAGCGAGGCGCGAGGCGAGGTACGATCGGATCGTGCAGACGTGGAAGTCGACGTCGGAGAGGTACAGGCCCCTCTTGAAGTGCCGAACGAGGCCGTGCGCCCTCCGGCTCGATGTCGGGTTGACGTCCAAGGTGTGGAGGATCGCCCTGCGACTCGACAGGTGCTCCTTGTACAGCGCCGCGAGTTCCGGGTCTTCGATATCGAGGGCGTGCGGTACTGCCTTGTGTACCTCCTTCTCCCCCTCCTCCTCCGCTACCTCATCTGACGCGACCTCCTTCCGGAGCGTGTTTCTCGCGTACGGTGCTGTACAAAGTGCGTCACGGAGGCGTGGCGGCAAGGGCGGGTTGGCACCGTGTATCGCGCGCGCGAGATGCAGCGTCAGCGCGCCCATGCCCGTGCCGGCCTCGAAGATCTCGACGGGCGGGCCGGCGTCAAAGTCCGGGTCTTCACCAGGCACGGGAAGATTCAGGTCGAGGAAGGACACAATGAGGTTGGCGTCCTGGGGGTAGATCTAACCCAAGGGTTGCCGCATGGCGCGTTTCAGTCTTTGTCGGCCAATTTGCTTGTTCCTTAATATTTCATGTCCTGGGAAGAAGTCGTTTCATACCGGAGTCGCCACGCGCGGGGAGTTGGCGACGTATTGCCCGAGCGACGCCTCGAGGAGTCGCACATTGCGGCCGCCGCTGTCCTTGATCGAGTCGAGATAGGACTTGCCAATGATGTCGGAGGCGTTGACTTTGCTACCGTAGGAAAGCTTGATCGCCGCGTTCGTTCGGAGAGGAGGCGAGAGGTGGAATTTGGGCTCTTTGGTCCCTCGTTGGCGTAGGATTACTACATCGTGCTCTACGCAGGGGGTTAGTTGATGTACCTAGGATGGAGTGAAGATGGGGTTTGGAAGGAGGCGCACCTCTGATAGCGTGGCTGGAGCTGTAGGCGCGGCACAACGACGGTTTGGTTCGCCTGAAAAGACTCAATGGCATGCGTCTCGATAGCATGGTGATGAAGATGCTTTCCGCGATCTTCTTATTGTCGGAACGAGCTTGCAGGGGTTTGGGGAAACTCCTGTATCAAATTTGCATTGATGAATATGATTTTCTTGTCGCATAGAGTGGGGCAGATATCTATGTAGCCGTATCTTAATTCGACCTCACTCAACCTCCAGATAGCACCCAAATTATCCATCGCCTTGGTCTTACTTCACCGTGGCCACTGGTTCTGGAAATGCATGCCATTTTGAGACTCCAAATCACTGCCTTTCCCATATATAGAGAGAATAGAAGATCTAACCGTCACGACATTCACGTTCGTTATCAACGTCTGACCCAAGGTCCGGATCCCCGTGGTAGAGTTCCTTCACGTTCCATCTCAGCGTTTGCAGCGTCTTATGTCCCAATTCCTCCCTCTCCCGCTTTTTCTATCAGAATCTCGGTCTAGACGATACTAAATCTACACATTCTAGCTCTGCATCTTCACAGAAGCCGGGCAGGCGTTGACAACGGTCCAAATATCTCAGCCTCGGGAGTGCAACATCCCCTTCTTTGGCCCCACTGGCTATGTGAAGATGAGCGCTGTCATACCCAGCACAGAGAGTCAGATGTGTGGTATTGTCTATCGCCAGTACCCAGAATTGAAGTTGAAGACATGAACCAAATCATGGGCCAAACACTAACATCGAGGTGTTCGCAATGCAATCGGAGATGCCAGGGACGGTAGCTCGTTCACCTTTTAGATGTACATACTCCCCTTTCTCATGTGACAGTTCGACCCCTTCGGCCAAATCCAAGATGCCTGATGGAGATAAAGTCCTCCTATCTTTTATATAGTCAGGTTTTCTCCCTGTAGCACTCCGATTCTCTTACTTCTCATCTAACCCCTTTTTTCATCTTCACTCGATCATTCCATTCTCTTTTCTTGTCTTAACCGGTCAATACATCTACGACGCCATCTGCCACTCTAATCCATTACAATGGCCACACAACACAACGCATGCGTCGACTTCAGAATGGGCAGCCTCCAAAATGCCCTGGCATACACCCCGCAGCCGTCGGGAGACTTTCCGTCTCCCAGGGCTGCGGAAGCGACAGACTGGCTGGCCCACATTCTCTCAGAGAATGAGTCGGGACAGTTCATGAGCCCGGCAACGCGAACCCGCGCTGAGAGACTTCATCACCTCTGTGCCGAGTCCGTCTACTGGCCTATTTCAGATCTGATGAACCCTGCCCTGGACGCAGTCAAATACGGCCGCCATGAGATTGAGTCCCTCATCCGCATTGACGGACGGCATAAAGCAGCGGGTCTGAAGTGGAAATGCATGGCCAAGGACTACATCGTCACGCGTTACGCCCCATACTCGAAGGAGATCGAGAACAAGCGCCGGACGATGGAGAGTCAGACATGGAGACAACTCTTCAACGGCCGCAAATCAGTCGGTCCCATCATCAAGTGTCCCTACGAGACCTCGGCCGTCTTCGCCGTCATGGACTGGGTCGACATTGACCGTATTCTCGACTTTGAGACGCGCGAGAACTCACGATGGACCGAGTATCCGGGCATCTCAGCTTTCGTCGACTTCTCGACGAAGATTCCGGGTAGACAGCCCCCGTCGAAGTTGACCAGCTACGTGGAAAACGTAGCCAAGGCGCACGGCGACTTGAATTGGAGAAAGGTGCGGAAGTTCATCAAGATGTACATCGCGGAGCAATATCCGGCGTCTCCCAACTTGTACACGGAGACCGATTGGTTCGAAAACAGGTTGCCGTTTTCCGATGTTCCCGACACGCGATACGGGATCCAGAAGAAGGCTTCGAGTCCATCGAGCGGCATGTTCGAGACCTCGGAAGAGGTCCAATGGTAGAGACGCTTCGACGAGGACTCCCCAGCTCTGTCGGAATGGACTCCGAAGTGCTGCTCTGACTATAAGGTTCTGGCGATTCGGGCGATGGCTGCCTTTGAGGCTTGAGTCAATTGGCTATGTACGTCGACTTTAGGTCCGGTCTCCGTTCTGTAGTTCGTTCGGTGTCAAACTTGGAAGACGATTGCAGACTACGAGTTGTGTTTGTGTTGTTCGGGTCATCTTCAAAGTTTACACTTGGACAATCTGTCACTAAGAGGGCTTAGAGTTATCTAGTTTTCTCTTGTCGTTACTGTTGATAGAATTACTTTCGTGAACACTGATCGTACTCTCGACCGCCATTTTCGAAGTTCAACGAGCAGTCAGCCTTACTTTCGACGTGTTGTGCTAACAAGTCGCAACCACATATCCGGTCTCCGATTTGACGGCCTAGTAGCTTGTCGTCAGCCTTCCCTTACATATTTATGTTTTCAGCAAGATGAGAAAAGCCTTGGAATGGAAGTTTGCGAAGCGGAGGGTAATGATTTCATCCCTTTTGTAGAAAACAAATTTGCGACGTGCGTCAACAGCCCATACCCCTGCGATCCAATTACACATGTGTGGAAGTGGCCGGTCTTCGATCGATTTCACTTCGTCCATGGTAGTTTCTGGTGATTGGTGGCGTGATATGAAGAAGGACATGACAGCGGAGACTAGTTATCTGGACGATGACGAGGACCTTTCGTCTGGTGTCTTACACTTGAGATGATTCGAGATCGTACGAAGGCCGGCTATGGATAGCAATGCCATCATTGCACAGTCTCCTCCACCGAAACATAGATGAATAATGGTGCAACGATGGAAATCCTTATGATGGAAGCACTTACGATGGGAACACTTACGATGGGAACACTTGCAATGGAATCACTCACGGGGGCGTAAACCATATCGAGTAACAAGGAGCTGGGGGGTAGGGGTAGTGGAAGGTAGGCACCGCCCATAGTCTCCCCTATAGTGGTAGACGCACATGATCAAGTTTGCACAGTTTCAGCTGCGATTCGTGGGAATATTCTCATTCGGTCACTACCCTTAGACAAGATACCACTGCGTTCATCCACCATGGCCGCGACCAGATTATGAACAAAGTCGATCCTTCCATCCTCCGTCCTTCTGCAGGCCATCTGTCATACCCATCCATTTCAACGTAGAATCCAGAGCGAACCAAAACTACCACATCAATTCCATCCAGTGTTGATTGCTAGCCTGCTCTCTTTCTCCAACATCGTGATCGACTTAGTAGTAGCCCATGCCAGGTCCCGGCTGCGCTCCATGATGATGGTGATGGTGCTGAGGCGCAGGGTAGAAGGTGCCCGCGGTACCTCCATGGACGACCGCCTGGCCCATTCCTCCTCCTCCTCCCATCATACAGGCTCCCTGCGAAGCCATCGGGACGAAGGTTCCAGGACCGTGGTTGCCAGTACAGCAACCACCACCACCCTGGGAAGCGGGAGGAGGACCTCCAGGCGCCGCCATGCAGACGGTCGGCATGTGCGCCTGCTCTCGGATAAGGTAGGTACCAGCGGCGGCAGGAGGAACCGACATCGGGCGGGCAGCGATCGGGGTGGCGGCAGCGGCGGCAGCCGTAGCGATGGTAGCCGGAGCGACGTCCTGGGCGCGGGCGCGCTCGTGCTCGTACTTCTTGAAGTAGAAGGCGTACTGCTTATCCATCAAACCGCGGTCGAAGAAGTGGATCTGGCCGTACGTGTAGTCAAAAGGGTACTTGCGCTCCTCGTGACTGTGAGCCTTGTCTGCGAAGAAGTTCGAATGTCAGCAACGGTTTTTCCTCCCTACTTCAACGACTAGTCCTCTCTTCCAAAAACAACAATAGGTAGACCTACCCATAAGCTTCCACAAGCCCTCAAGCTTGAGCCAGTCGCTCGCCTCGAGACTGATGCGGACTTTGCCCTGGCCCGCAAAGTGGCGGTAGACGTGCTCCTTGGCCTCCTGCGCCTTGTCGTAGAGCAGGGCGACAGTCGCGTCGGGCCACTTGGCCACAATGTCAGCGAGGACGCGGTCCTCGAGAATATCGTACTCGCCGGGTCCCAGGCCCCATCTGGACAGCACCTCGTCCCGCTGTCCCTCTCTCATCCACCTCTGGAGGTTTCTGTCGAGGTCTCCCACAGAGACCCAAGGCTCGGGGGCGGGGTCGGGGACGGGGGAGCGAACACGTCCCATGGCGAAATCATCGCGAGCGGACCACGGGGCGGGAATGCGATGCGTTCGATCCTGCTGGACACGTCCATGTCCACGGCCACCGCGATCGCGCTGGTCTCGGCCGTTGGCTTGAGCCTTTTTGCCGGTGGGCTGCTCTGATTTGACTCTACCCATCGTTGCAGAGTGTGGATGGGCAGGTAAGTATGGCGGTGTTGAGTGGTGGAAGTGAAAGGTGAGTTGACCTGGAAAGAGCTAGATCAAATAGCCCATCTGGTGGTGAAAGAGGGCTGAATATGTGTTCCATTACGGGGAAGTAGGGTGAAAACAATAGGGTTGTCGAGCCGACCCTGGATGAAGGGTGAAAATAGCAGCTCTCGCTTTCCGGGCCGCTCACCAATGTCGAGGCTAAAAGGACTCGGATAGACGATAGATCGACAGCCTGTCTATGATCAACAAGGCTGCGATAGTGACTTGCCATGTAGCACTAGATAGGGCCGGGGAACAGGCGTGGGCGCGGAGGGTGGCAGACAGAGCCTCAACCAACCTCGAGAGGATGATACTGATCCGGGGCGAATTGAACATTTGTTAACAAAGGCGATGGTGCCCACCAAATGTCTGCCGTCAGTCAGCTTTATCAGTACAAACTTATTTTCGCGGAATAATCTGGGGATGGGACACAAAGCAAACCAAACCAAACGAACCGAACCAAAGAAATGGTCAAGTCGGCTTCCAGGCCAGGCTCAAGTTGTGTTCGATGGCTTCATTTCCTATCACGGTCCATAGGTATCTTTCCGAAATGAACCCAAACGTAATCCCGCTTCTATTCATGGTATCATTGACACGTTTAACCGATCATCTCTTCGTCGTCGTCACCGCCGCCACCCATCTTCCGCCTCAATCTCACGGCATCCTCATCTCTCTTCCTCCGCTCGAGGCCCTCCTTGATCCAGGCATCGTATGCCGCATCGCCGCCCTCAACCTTCTGCGCGACAACACCTTTCAGGACCTCGCCAGCGAAGCCAACAAAGTTGTGTCGACGCAGAGCGTTCTCGAATCTCCAGTTGCGGCGCTTCTCGTTTTCTCGCTCCAAGGTCTCGGAATCACCAATCTCCTTGGCGGCAATCCTCGGGTCGCGTACCATGGCCAGCACGTTGAACCGAATCTCGGAGCTGGCGTACGTAAGCATGCGGTCCTGGAGGACCTGCGTCACCTTGGTTGGAAACTCTTCGGTCGTGCAGGCGCCGTGCGAGATAGGCGCAGGCTGCAGTCCATCCAGCTCGTACAGCTTGCCATTGATGGGCGTGTAGGCGATAAAGTGGAAGGCATCCTCGGCCTCGCCCGTCTTTTGCGTCTCGTCGACGAAGGGACTGCTCTTGGCGAAGCTGTTGTGTACATCGCGGATCAGCTCAGAGTTGCTGAGTGCCTCCCCGCGGAACTCGGGAGGCAGAACCATGGTGAATTCACGGAATTCGCCAAGCTTCTCGCCAATCTCCACCTCGTTGGTCTTGTTAAGAACGACGCTCAGCAGCGCTTGCGTGCCGCAGGCATTCTGGATCGTCTGCTGGGCGAAGAAGAGGCTCTCGGCGGCATCGCGGTCGTAGGAGTCTGCTGGCCGCGCGGGCAGGCCTTCGGAAGGGTAGCGGAAGAGGAAGATAATGCCGTAGATTGGCTGCAGCGGCGCTAGCTCATCAGGAGAGAGCGTGAGCAGCTCTTCAAACTGAACGCCCTTGACACCGAGGTTCTCGAGCAGGTAGGTGAAAACGCCCTGGACGGTTAGTCTGGTGCTATTTCAATTCGTTAAAGTGACGTACTGCATCGGACTCGACTGCAACGGTTAGCAAGCACAATAGGCTGGAGCTTCTTTCGGGAGCCGCATACTGGTATTCCATCCACCACTCATCTTGGAGGCGGAGGAGGGGTAATTACTGGTGGACTTGGTGGAGGTTGGTCGCTGAGCTTTTTGAGTGTTCTGCAAGACGTCGTAATTGCTAAGTGGTTCGCGTCGCAGTCAAATCGGATTTCACAATCGGACTGGAATTGGTAAGCTGGAGATTGAAGCTTTCATGTTTGCGGACGGAGCGCTGACCGTTGACGCAAGGTCGGAGCTGTGGTGGGGCGCGGTGGAACGGGACCAGGGTCAAAGATTCGCCGGGGCACCCAACTCTCCAAGCTCAATGCCCCTCAAGGCTTACTTTACTCGCAGACCACCAATGTCACCATTACGGCAGAGGAATTAATTCAAAGCTGGTGTCTCATTGTTGCTATCTACAATCATTGACAGCTGATTCAAGTGATATAGCCAGTAGACCTGGCACTATATTCTCGCAAGAAAATCGCCTCCCCGGTAACAGAAAATGAAGAATCTAACCCTAGACCAAGTACTTTTCTTTAGTGTACGGAACGCGGCGTGACCGCCCGCTGTGGGATCGTCACCATGTGAACACCGTCCTCCTTTTGGTCCGATGAACCCATGCGCGAACCCGGAGCGTAGGAGCTATCGTGGTCGTCCTGCATGTTAAACTGGCGCTTGCTGTCGTTGTCGCCGTTGCTGAAGCAGCTGTTGCGGACAGCACGCACAAACCAAGGCTTCTTGCCAGAGCCTCTCCAGGACCAGTATTCCTTCGCATCGTACTCGCGGGGCTCGATTCTACCCCCAGACAGCCAGACAGTCAAGGCGATCAGGCCGTTAAGAACAGTGTACACGAAAACGCCCCTAGGATGGTCAGCCATGGTTAGAGAGATGTCATGAGAACGACTTACGCGATAAGGCCGTAAGCGACGCTGTACGAGAAGGGAATGAAAGTCATTACGACAAAGGATGGAAGAACATCGCCAATATAGCGCCAGTTGATCTGGGTAATTTGACGAATCATCATGCAGCCGACCTGCGACAGTTAGACCGGAACACCTCTCGAGACCTTTGGGGCCTTTTGGAACTTACCAGAACGAGCGTGCAACCAGTTGCCCAAGGCGGGATAGACGCAAAGATGGGAGCAAAGAAGATGGAGACGAGGAAGCAAAGGCCGGTGGTCATGGATGTCAGTCCGGTGCGGCCACCTTCTGCAATACCCGCACCGCTCTCGATGAAGGCCGTGACTGGAGAACAACCGAACAGTGAGCCGATGGAGATGCATGCCGCGTCGCAGCAATAGGCAATGGTAGAACGAGGGAAATCGCCGTCCTTGGGGTCGACAACGCCACAGAAACGGACCATGGAGTACAGCGTGGCTGTGGCGTCAATGATGTCGACGTAGAGGAAGGTGAAGAGAGCCAGGGCGAATTGCGATCCATTCTTTGTGACATCCCAGTCCAGGGCGTTGAGGGTGTGCTGGATTGGATGGAACGTGACGACGTTTTTGAAGAAGTTGAAGCGATTCTCGCCTTCCTCGTTGTAAGGGAAGTAGGTGATGGATGTGTTGCGTCTGAAACAGTCAGCGATATTCGCGTCATGGAGTGCGGATGACTTACGGCCAGGATAAGATGGACACCAGGGCAATACCCATGATGAGAGCATACTTGACCCGGAATGACATCAGATATGCCGTGACAAGGCCGCCAGCGAAGATTGCCGTCCACATCTTGGGGCTCGACATGATACCTCCAGCACACATCTGGGTGTCCGGGTCGATCATCTCAACAGGGCATCCGGCGATGGCGAGCGGGGTAGACTTCCAGCCTCCAGTAATTGCACCGATTCCGGCCGAATAAGAAAGTCCAATCTCCGTCAAGAAGAAGCCGATACCGACGCCGGTTGCCGTCTTGATAGTGGCGGGGATGAGCTTAACAAGCCACTGGCGCATTCCGGTAAGAGCAAGGACGATGAAGATGAGCCCCTCCACGAAGACTGCTGTCAAGGCGACACGGTAGGGAATGTTGCCTGAGCCGTTGGGGCCGACGACCTGGAAAGCGAAGTATGCGTTGAGGCCCATGCCTGGACTGTTCTGTCTGTCAGTGAATGCCAGATTTGGATACGAGACAAACACTTACGCAAGGGCCACTGGCAGATTGGTGAAGAAACCAAAGATGAAGCTAGCGAGGCCGGCGATGGCAGCAGTCGCAGTGATCAGGTCAAGACGAACATCTAGCAAGGTTAGCCGGGCTCATTGCGTGATCTCGGCCGACTTACTCTCTTTGCAAGCCTTGTAGCTGCCGATGTTGTCGCAGTCGGCTCTGTTTACCAAGTCGCACTCACAAGTTCCGCCTGTCTGCGAGAGAATGATTGCCTAGGCTGATCAGCACATAACCCTCACAGTCAGTCAAGGATATACACTCACATTGACAGCGATGATGTACGCCATGGTCGCAAAGGTGGTCACTCCCGCGCGAATCTCCCTAAAGAATGATGTATCGGGAATCTCCTTAGGCTGTCCGGGGTTAGAGAATTTGGCAACAGAGGCAGGGGGAGAAAACATACATGGCCGCTTCCCTCGAGTCTGAAGATTCGTCCAAAGGTGGACGTGGAGATTCGCTTGTCGCAGCGATCGACAGCTTTCCACATAGCATGGAATCTGTGGCCGATGGCGGATCGACGAACGGGCGACTCGACGGGCTCCAAACGCTCCATGTTGGAGTGAGTCGACATGTTGCTCATAGCGAGAGATGGAGGAAGGAGAGTCGGTGGACGAGCGTCCAGGCGACTCGGAGAGGTAGGTGGTAGTGAGTGGTAGGGAGGCCCGAGTGGTGAGGAGGTTGTGGTACAGGACTCAGTACAAAGGAAGAAGGTTGAGATGTCTCAGAGTCCTGTACGAGGCGAGGCGGGAGGTGGTTGGCACACAATCGGCGAGGAGGCAGGAGGGAAAAGAATGAGGAAAGCCGCAGGAGAACCTGGAAGTGATGTCCGGCGGGTGTTGGAACCGAGATGGGAAGGATTGAGTGGAAGAAAGGAATGTAAAGTGAGGTGACGAGAACCTGAGGCAAGTCCAATATTCAGAACTTGGAAGAGGTGGTACCCGGAACGGCCTGGCAACGAGACCGAATCCTGCGGGAAGGATCGATAAAAGAGCTGTCTTGGAAAAGGAGAAGAAAGGGAAGGCAGATGCACCGTTGGAGAAGAAAGTGAAGGTGCGTTAATGGTCAATGGAATGCCTAGAGAAGGGAAGAACCTGGAAGTGGAAGGGGCGAAAGTGGCAGGATGAATTATATCCTTGCTCGCTCCTGCCCATGTCTACTGCACACCTGCACACCTGCAAACGACCCCATCGTAGGTACCTACATACCGATACCTTACCAGACTTGCCTACCTACCTCAAGCTTGCTCAAGCCTCGAGGTACATGCATCTCCTGCATCCCCTGGGCGACATCCAATGTCTCTTCTTCCCCCCTCTTCCGAGAAGGATACCTTTCCTCACCGAGTTGACCCTGCTTTAGTCTGCCACTTTCTGAGGTACGCCAGTGAAAGAGGGTGTACCAGTCTTTCTTTTCCTCAGCAAAACCTATACTGCGCCAATGCCGCGTGGAGGTGGGGAACGTCTTGCGGGAAGTCCACATCGCGGGTTTAGCCTCCAGGCCTGAGGAGGAGAGAAGTTCCAGGCCGCCACTATCAGCCGCAGCTTGTCTCTTCCCACGTTGACGCGAGGCGCTAGCCTCATGGGAGATCTACACTCGCCAACCGGGACGTGGAGGTGCTCGTGCTAATCTACCATCAAAGGACATTGCGAGAGAGCTCCTCCTAAACCGGCCATTTCTCGACGCCACGAATGTTCAAAAAGCTTGAGCCCCCAAAGCCGGACGACGACGCCTTTTTTTTTTTCAACGATAAACGCCATATCCATTGATTCACCACAAGGCCTCGCCGACGGGCTTCGAGCCGGCCCTCATCATCAATGCCTACGCACCAGACTTTCAAGCCACGACTGATATCGAGTCCACGCTCTCGTACGAGCTGATAGACTTTCGGGAGAGCAACGATACCATCCATCACGTTAGCTCGAATATCCCAAGAAACGAACTCCATCTGTGCGCAACGCCTCACGAACCTACGACCCAGCTGTCAGGTTAGGCGCGTCTTAGTCTTGCTCTTCAACCGCTCGGACTGCCGAAGAACTACGCCATTGTCCGAACGAGGCATTGGAGTCGCCTGCTTCCTGGCCTTATCGTCGATGTCGGACCCCGTCGCGATAGCTTCAACATCGGAGACCGCCCAATCGGCCTTGAAATCAAGCCCTCCATCGCCCAGGCCTATCCAAAAACGTTCGCCATCGTGACTCTGTCCCCTATAATCGATCAAGCCGCAGCCAATGGCCTACTTGACTATCCCTTTCTTCATCTGGCCGCTCAGCTTTGCCGTCTTTCCAGATGATAAACCAATTACAACGGGAAATCCAGCCATGAGGCAATTTCTTGCCTGCAGGCGGCCGCTGCAGTGTATACCTTGGCAAGCGAGACATGTCTCGAAGCTCCTTGATAGGACCACCAAGGTCGGTGACCGGTGCTTTGCATCATATGCGGGAAATTCGTCCTTGTACCGAGATTGAGCTTGTGACAATGTTCTGCTCTCGCATCAGCCCCTGCTGACCATTGCCTAGCTATCACCTGTTTGCTCTTTTGCGGCTGACCTTGCGTGTGCTACAGCCGTCATCAGTCTGACTTGAAGCCCTCCTCACTGGCCAGTTCTCCGGAAGACTCAGACATACGCACGTCGTACCTTGCCTACGCATTATGCACTGCTACAAAAGGCCGCTATTTTCCTCGCTCGCTCGCTTCTTTATCGTCCAGCACTACGGAGAGTTTAACGTCGGTCCTAGACCACGCCCGATGCGTCGTGGCCAAAATGTCAAACCATGTGAGAGAGGTGCTCCATGCTTGTTGGGATGGAGCTATCGTGATCCGATCTTCCTCCGGTATTCAGTGGTAGGCCGTTAGGAGATGTTGGAACATGTTTGTGGCCAGGCCCGTTGGCAATTTCGAGTTGGTCGCAGGTGATGGTTGGCAAACTGGGCCCTTTGGGGGTAAGGTATGCCGCATCTAGAAAGGGCTCAAGAGTCAAGACACTCTTCTGGATGGCACGAACGGGAAGTGGAAAGACCACAAAGGCCCTCTGACTCTGGCTGGAATTGAGCTGGGACCTGCTTGAGACCTCGTTGGATTGGGTCTTTGTTGGAATAAGCAAAGGGAAAGAATGTTTGCTCTCCATTGTCGTTGGTTGGCAAACTCGCTTAAAGTGGCCAAGTGAGCCGCCAAAAGGATAGTGGAGGGTGGCATGGATCGCTCCGCGGCGCACCTGGGCGTGTTGGGCTTGGCCGGACGATGCCATCGCTGAGTCGTGAGTGGTCCCTGGGCCACTAAGGTGCCTTAGAGTAGGCTTGCCAGCAGTTACGGCCGCCAGGACGTGCCCCGCAGACTGCAAAGTCCCCTGACACGGGCCCCCTAGCGGCGCCGCTGCAGTGGGAAGCTGGAACCTGACCACTCACGAACCACCTTGTCCCCCAAGACGGTTTAGATCTGGCAGACCTCAGGGGTGGCCCTGCCCCGGATTGCCGTCTCCCTGCAGATCCACCCGCGCCCTGAATCCAATCTGTGATCCCGACTCTTCCACCTTGCAGACGACATCCCAGTGGCCCTCTTTCCCTGCCTTGCACTCCATCTCACTCTTACCTTAGCCTTTGGGTTGAGTCTTGCGAGTCTTCCAACGCCAACACCAAACATCGGACTACGATGCCACCGCCGTGGCTTCGCAGCTAGCCACTTATCAGCCCCTGCTCAAGTGTTGACGTTTGCCCAGACCAGTGGCCCCCTGGACCCCTTCACAAACACATCCACGACGTCTCATCGTCTGCTCTCTGCTCCCAACAAGCGGTCTGCCGGTCCGAGTCTCTGGAGTCCGCTTCGAGCGGGTACTGTGTAGGCTGCAATGCCACCATATCGCCCGGATCGTCACTTTCTCGCCGGGGTCATGGACATCCCCGGACGACTTGACCGGATGCCTTCCGCAAGACGGTCTGCCGGGACCTACAGAGCCACCAGACTGCAGAGTTGACAGCTGAAGACGACACGACCGCGTCTGTCATGGACTCATGGAGAGATTCTGTACGACGGCTTCCCCGCCGGTCTTGCCGCTTCGCTGCGGATCGAGAGGAGCACCGCCTTGAGTCGAGAAGGCAGCTTGCAGCTGTCTTCAATGGTGCGAGGGCACTTTGCAAAAACGGAAGCAAACACGGCCCCGATGCTTCCCCATCGCATGTCTAGCTCACTTTCGTCCAGCACGAATGGTGTGCACCAGGCAATTTGGATTCCAAAGATGCGGCTAGTTTCCACAAAGACGCAGCTCGACGCGCGAACTTGTCGATAGTCCACAGCCCCCAAAGATAGCAATGGGTTTTGCCATGTGGTCGGCAACGTAAGCTTCGCACCGTCCCTTTCGCTGAAAGCTTCCATGGGCGCCGTCTTGGAGTGTTCGAGGCAGTGGCAGTAAGGCAGGACACAATGAGCATGTCCTGGTCTGCCTGCCCTTTTGCGTTCCATTCTGGCCAAGAATGAGGGTCGCAACGTGCCTGGAGTCAAGGGAGGCCGGGCAATGGAATTCTGCTGTTTGACAATGCGAAACCCGTTGACGGTTCGGAACGGTTCGTGAAGAAGAGCATTCATCTCAATATTTCCTCCACCAATGTGGCACGGCGCGATGCGTCCCGTTGACGTTGGCTGCCACAAGTCGCCGCTGTTGTGCCTGGTGCAACTGGCAGTTCGGGCGTACAGTCACTTCTTGTCTGTGAGCGAGGGCAAAGTTGACGATGCCGGCTGGGACGCCCTTGTCTGGTGGTGGTGGAATAAGCAACGCGGGAGGAGGACGGATTGAGACAATGAAAAACACTTGCCGATCAATGTCCAATGATTCTAAACCAGCACGACCAGATGGATGGGGGGCCCAAGGGCCATGACCGGCAGGACGCCACAAAATCTCAGATGACTGCATGGGCTATCGGCGAGATTGAGAGGGGAGCCAAGACCAAGGGGGTTCAAGGAAAGCCGGTTGTGTTAGTCCCAATTCGATATATGGACAAGCCGGGGAGCACAAATTCATACTGGAGCTTGATCGACCGCCGACTCGGCTTGCGAACCAACCTGCTTGCCCAACAGTATCAACTGGTGTCCTGGTCCTATCCATAGCACGGTACATAATCAGACGGACACGTACGATCACACACTGTCGAACCTGGTTCCTGTTGGAAGAGAGAAAGTAATTACCTATTTGTACAAATACAAATCTCTCGGAACGGGCCACTCACTCTCTTCTGACGCACTCTTCCCGCTCTTGTGTCATTTGTTTCTATTCTTCATCAAGTACCGAGAGGCTGGCCCGTTTGTAGGTTGCGCACTTCATACTCCCAAATCCATAGGTTGTTGTCGTCGGCCGCACCGGATCTCGACCTGGAGTTATCATCCCTCACGTTGCATTTCGCATCTGCGGCGCGTGTCGAATCTCCTGCAGCTGCCGCACAAGCACGACGACAACCGGGAGCGACGCTCGTGCACGTCAACTGTCAACTGCCATCTATCTGCAGTTTCGCATACCGCATCTTTGCATCCGCGTCCGCGTCCGCGTCCTCGCCCTCATCCTCGTCTTCCCTCGGTCCTTCCTTCCCCCGGCTTCTATTCTATACCTGACGTCTCCTGCCTTCCCGATTGATACAGGTTTCGCGTGGTCCTCCTGATACACTAGCGCCCTTCTCAATCAGAACTGCACCTGCCTCTGCCACATCGTGACTGCCCTTTCTTCTCCTGCCATCTTTTCTCGGAATTGGCCAACCAACACATTCAACTTCCTCCGTACACCACCTGCCGACGTCGGCTTCCCATTTTCACTTTGTCGAATCTTCCCTCCCTTCGAGACGGCACTCTCGTCAATCCGATTTCTTGCATCTCCCCCCTATTCAACCTTCGCCGGCTCTCCTCCATGGTCCAGGCTGTCGGTCATCGCAGCTTTTCAACCTTTCACCCCTGCGACTTCCTACTGCCGACCGCAAGTGTATCTTAACTTCATCCTCACTCACTTCTACGACGCGAATCATCGGACGGATTACGTCCTCAGCCTCCACAGGACCCAAACGTTCAGCAACACGCCGTTTTCCGAACTTCGGGCATGCGATTGATCGGCCGGTTCAAGCTCACAATTTTGCGTCTCAATCAGCATCAAAGCCGGCTGGCCGTGTATTCACAGCATCCCTAACATCTCACCTGGCCACTCGGATCGTTATTGCAACACACGTCTCTCGTTTGGACCGACGAGAAACGACTCGCAATGTGGGAAGTCGTGTGGACGGACCCCGACAGGGAGTCTAGGAAGGAGCACCGCGAGAGGAAAGCAGTTGAGCGGGAGCACAAGGATAAGACCAGAGCATCTAGGAGTTCCATGTCCACTCGCAGCTCTTCATCGTCCGACAACAAACCGTTCAGCTTCTTCGGATCTAGGAGTCTTAAGAGGACACTGACACCATCGAGCACCAAAACGTCCACCACACACGCTCTCAAAGCCCCGAGCATCGATAGCACATTCAGAGGCTCGCTATTGTCAGCTGTCTCGGAGCCACCGCCACTACCCACGGAGCTCCCATGTAGCCCCGTCACCACGGTCGACCGCACTTACATGCCGCAAGAGCAGCATTCTGTCGAGTCACAGCAGAGCTCACCAATCTCATCCAACAGAGGTAGACAAGCCCAATTCCACAAGCTTGCCACAGCTCACTGATATTCAGGATTCCTAGACTCTGTTTTCTCTAAGTGGACAGACACCTCTATGGGTGGTCCGACATCCCCATGCAATACATCGGTCGCCGAGTCGACGTCGGCAAAGAGGGAACATTACGTGCAGACCCTCGGCCCAACCTCATTTATCACCAAAAGCACAGAGGTCACCATCCTGCCTCGTACGATAGAAAACGATATCTCAGGCATGATCTCTCATATAACCATCACAGCTGAGCCAGTCAAGGAGGAGCCCCCAACACCTCCACGTTCTCCAGCGGCGCAGTAAGTACCTCGCAATCCCCTTACAGCATCGTCGCTGACAAGATATAGGCCGGCGGTAACAGCCATGATATCACCGGCCATGCTCGACTCGCCTGTCAACCTTTTTCCTGGACATTCTAGTCCGCAGCGTTCATTACGGCGAGTTCCTTCATGGTCCATGGCCTTCAAGCCCAACAACCCAGACTCCTGGAGACCACCAGATGCCTGGGACTGTGGTCCACCTCCGGAAGTGCGAACGCCAATGATTGAGGCGGTCATTGAAGAGACACCAGAGCTCGATGCCGCATGTGCCATGTCCATGGATCTTAATGGGATGCAGCGTGAGATCAGGCGAATGGCCGCTGCAAGCCATAGCATTCGCCTCTTGCGGTTGAAAGAGGTTTGGGGCGAGACCACCGATGCTAGCCTCTACAAGGAGCTTGAGATGGAAAAGAAGAGATGGATGCTTTCTTCTTTGCACAACATGGACAAGCCAGTGGAGGTGGACCAAGCGAAGGCTCATCCCAACAAAATTACTCCTGCCAAGGCGAAGAAGGTCCTCGCGCTTTACGAGACTCAGGGTAAGTAGAGGCAAAACTCAACTTTTCGTCACTCTGACTAACTTGCACAGCAACAACCTCATACCTGGCCGCCATCCACTTCAATAAGCAAGTGTACCATCTGGCTTCATCGCCGCTGTCTCACACACTCTTTCCAAATATCCACCCGGTTAATGTACCTGCCATTTCGCCATCGGCCTTCCCAGTGGCCCCGTCTCTGTTCGGCATAGTCTACTCGTTGGCACTACCGGCGCTTCTGCCATCGCCTGAAGTTCCCAGTCTTCTCAAAAATGTTCACCGGTGCCTCGCTGCCGGTGGTGCCTTTCACCTTACGTTGATCGACCCCCTTCCCGTCACGAGTACGTTGGGTCCTCTGATGCGTTCGTGGATTGAGGAAAACCTCATCTTCAACCTCGAGAAGAACTTCCGCTGCATGAACCCAAGCAAACTCTTCCCTCTGTGGTTAGCAGATGCTTCCCTCCGTGCTGAAGGCAGTACCATCACCACTGTGAGGTTTTCCGCCATACCACCAACAGACAGACCAGACACGGCCACGACCGATGCCGAGGTGCTTGCAGATAAGGCTGTCAAGCAGGAGCTCCGCAGTATCGTCGGCCGCATGCTGTGGAGGGAAGTATGGGGACAGTACATTACTGCAGATCAGTGGTGGTGGGAGAACCCCAGAATTGTGGAAGAGTGTGAGCAGCTCAAAACAGCGTGGGAGTACAGCATCATCGAGGCGGTCAAAGAAGCGTGATGATAGTCGCTCTGTCTCAAACTGGTTGGTTCTCTCGCGAACCAAAAACGAACGGATGGAATGTTTTTGTCACTTTGAGGGAGCAGAGGTGTTTCCCTCGGTACGGCGTTGGAGGCCAGATTTCTTTCACAATACCCCCCCTGGATGGCCGACAGAGCCACTTGCTTTACATATCGGCTTGGGAAACGGATCCAACGGGACACGGTGTGGTTTTCTATGTATGCCGCTGTGCTCTCATTTATCAGGCTTCTTGGGAACTTCTGAGAGGCCGGGTGGGCCCGCAGCATTACGGAAGAAGGCGCTGCCACTATACGTTGGAATCAGCTGTATTTATTACTTTGCAAGAGTACCCAATGTCGGCAGCAGAATTATACAGACTGGAATCAACTATCATTGCGGTGAAGTCTATGTCAGTCGGTGGATGTCGCTCGTGGAACAGACTTGCCAACCTTTGAGTGTGAAACGTATCCGGCGAGGTTCCCGAAGCTTGTGCTTGACATTTGACCGTATGACTCGAATATTTAATGATGTGTCTGAATTTGACAGGTCGAAAGAGAAGAGCAGCAGGCAGATTTGTTTGGTTTTCATATCGGCTATGAAGGCAACCCCAGATGAGTTCGGATTTACCGGGCAGAGTGTTTCCCAGCATCCCCCCCGCACATCAAGTTCAGGAATCGATCTCCATCTTTAGAGGGCTCCACGATGATGGGACCCTGGTGTTGAGACGAACCATCGCTTGAGGGCTTATCCTGGCCCCGTCTTCCCCGCATTATCCACTTCGTTTCTTACATCGCGGAGACTTTTGGAGAGTTTGATTCTGGTATATAGTGTATCGTCGGGACCACAGAGTTGGTGTCTTATGCTAGGCGTCGGAGGCCGTACTCTGCCGGCTGAATGATGCCAAGATGAGAATTTGGAGGTGCGCGTAGGTAGTGGCTCATGGGGCCGGAGGAAGGACCGTCGACACACTTGAAACACGAAAAAAATCGAATGTAAGTTTGCCTAGTTCTGAAGGAACCGTGATCTGCTCGTCTTCTATCCATCCCACCCTGTTTTCTTATCAACGAAAAGATGAGAGACATTGACTGACGCGAAGAGGTTTAATGATGAACAACATGCTCATTGCTGGCCGACTTGTTTTGGATTCAACGCATTTCTTCTCGTCATTTCCTGTCCGCCCAATATCTCCACTCTCCTTCCGAAAGTGAGCGTTGATAATCTCTATACTCGTAGGTATCCTCAGAATAGTATTCATTCCGTCTCATGGTCGTAGTCTTTTTTCTTTGATGTTAGCGCAAAGGGCTTATATCAAGCTTGAGTAACACAAGAAAGGGGTCGGGGGTTCGTAGTACCTCAGGGCTGAAATCTTCTCTTCTCTTCTCGTCAAGTACCTCGTTCTCATCTTCTCTCTTCTCGAGGAGTTCCTCAGTTGTCTCCTCCTGTTTGGAGGTTTGCATATCGTTGTTATCGCAGATGATTATTGTAGCGAAACCCGCTGTGTAGAGGCTGACTAGGGAGACGGCTAGGAAAGTTGCAAAGAGCGGCATCATGGAGGGAAGTGATGGAGGTATACTGTTGAAGAGGGTAGGTGTATTCGAAGTTGGGGCGGAATGAAAGCTGGCGGGATGATGTCTGTTATAGTTGATATTGGAAGAGGAAGTTGATGTTGTCTGATATTTTGTAAATGCGATGTGTATGTGTCGGGTTTGATGGTTTCTCTTCTTGTCACGAGTATATCAAAGATATGGAAGGAAAAGTTTGCATCTCCTCAAGGTTTCTGTCTGTAATAACCATACCCCATCGTGAACAGCGACGGCTGCTCAACCTTTGCGGGCTGAAGCGGTTTGCCAACCTTGAGTTACTATTCGCGGCACATGGTGTCATTTGGGGGCAGATATTACCCATTAATACACATGCAAAGGTTTCGAAAACGGAGTTGACGACATATTTTTCCACGATGATACTGAGATTGGAAACAAGGTTATCGAGTTCCTCGACTTATAATGCTTCTATAAAGACTACATCGCGTGGAAGTCTGGATGGAAGATATGAAGCTAAGCAATCTACACCTCACTCCGACAGAGGGAAAATGAGCATTAGAGCGAAATGTAGTACTAGAGTCGGCCTTGGGCAAGAATATCGGTTTGTAGGATATCAGCATCTTCTCAAATCCGACCTCGCTCCGTCGCACTCGTGCCATCTCCTCAAAGGACATTAGCAAACGTATCTACCTACGAGAAGGGCGAGTGTACAGCCCGATTCTTCCGTTGTATAGCCAAACCGCACCAGGTCAATACAGTGATTACGGATAGCCACAGAGATGAAAAAGAAAAGAAAAAAGCAGTCATACGATATGTAAGGCACATACACGTGTTGCGTCCCCAAAACTGCCGTACTTCTTGCGCTTTGACGTCCCTCTGGTAAGAAAGTCCCAAAAAAAAAAACAGGGCTTGCTAGGAGCAGCCACTGCCGTTGAAGAACGCCCTAGATCTTCATCACCGTTGAGAGAGACTGAGAAAAAGTCGGCGGGCAAGGGGTGGGCTGACTTGGACTCGACCGTACCGGCATTCGTTGGCATGTGGGTGTATCTGGCATTGTTGTTGTTGTTTTTTTTTGCCTCGGGACTCGGGCAGACGGTATTCATCCAGCCACTACTTCGTTATCTCTGAAGTTGGGGGGATGTTAATATTGTGATTGTAATTGTTATTATGTAGTGATCCGCGGCCCGCGCGATGCTTTTGTTGCAGGTACGCTGCAGGGCGAACATATCCATGCATATTGCATCGGGCCATCAGGGAACCGTCATTGCTTTATCTGAGTTTGTGTCTCGGGTCTGGTGGCTCGCTAACTCGTTGAATGCTCGAGTCACATCGTCATCGACGAAAAAGAAGAAACGACGGATGTCAAATGAGGTACGGCCATATGACGGCCACAGGTGATGCAAGGGCACCATCATCCTGCGTGCCCACACAAGTTATCACGATGAATGAAAGCGCGCGCGCGGGTTCACTTTACGTCCGGATCCTCGGCCTCCACCAGCGCGCGGGAAGAAAAATCAGCCACGTAAAAACGAAAATTTCCAAAGCTGGGCCCGTCCCACCGTAGCTTAGACATGCATTTCGGAAATCGTGTGATCCAGACCCCCCAGAAAGCAACCGTGACGGCAGATGAAACGGGATCGTCGGGAGTGGTTTACCATTCGAGAGAGCAAGTGCCGTGGTACCGTGGTATCGTCAAATGTTGCTTCGTCGGGACTCGGGGAATTTTGACTGCTACAGTGCTACTGTCTACATGCCTGCATCGTCTTGCATGCGACGTCTTACGCTAGAGAATGGATATCAATAGTCCCGTTTCTCGATGAGGATCAGATCTTCGACCGCGGCATTTCTTGTCGTTTGGTACACTAAATTGGTGGAAGCTGCCATTTGTCTTGATGGTTCCTCCACGGGCCAGGAACCGTCCTGAGCCCGCGGTGTCTATTATGTACGTATAGAGTAATAGTGTCATGTTGGGGGTATATGGCGACAAGGATTGAAATGCTTGTCAAACCGTCAGAGCAGAGCAGAGAAGAGCAGGTGAAGGAGGGGTTCCAATAGCAAGAGCAGTCACTTCTAAACTATGTTGGCGGGAATATTGCGAATCGGCGAGATGAAGCAACCCGCCCAGTTCAACACTCCAAAACCAACATCACCTCTAGCTTCGAGACCATAGTGATTAATACAGTATCATTCTAGCCAACGCAGGCAAACGAACCAGGGGAGATGCAACGGAAGAGCACGGCGAGCTCGAGGTGATCCCTTGCATCGAAGCCAAGATTCGGGGAAGCAAATCCGCCCGAGAAGGCATCGCCAAGTTACCAACTTCCCCCACGCTCTTCCATCGTTCTCTGTTATTTCCGCAGCCATTATCTGAAGACGAGGTGCGCGATTGTCAATCAGGTCGACTTTCAAAAGTACATGCAGTAATGAACACCCCTGTATGCCCCTGCATGCGCGCCGCCAAGGCTCCCCTCCAACTTGGCTTTGTGGGATTGCGTGGGATCTTTTTTCTCCAGAAACCCACTGGGCTGGGAAAGTGGGTTTGCGTGGGAATCGGGAATGGAATGGTACTCGGGCAATTTGCTCCATCTTCTCTGCAACCCCCAAGTCCAGCGCAGACCTCGTCCCAGAGGATAGGGGGGCGGTGTATCCGTAATTCTCTCTCTCTCTCTTTCTCTCGAGTAAAGATTGACTAAAATCTTCATCAGCGTCAAGCAATGCAAAACTTAAAAAATTTGGTCTGCACAAATTTTCGTCAGTCCTGACTAAAGACTTCTTTCCTAGTACACTGCGTACCTGCTCAGTGACATGGCTCCCAGCTAGGATTTAGACGAGTGTCCCCTGAGAAGAGATCAGCCAGCCATAGAAACACCGACAGCAAGTCAAGACGGGAGGCTGTAACACGAAGCCCGACACTCAAGAGACGAAAGGAATGGAGGGCAGCGAAGCAAGGCAGCAAGAGAAAAAAAAATGACATAGACAACCCCCGCGTCCCAGCAGCCGTCTGCATAACCAAAAGACAAACGTGAGGTGCCGGCAGTTTGGCACCCTGGAAAGGGACCACGGGTTCGTTTGCTCAGCTTTGCTCGTGCAGCTGTCTTCGCAGAACACGCACCGCCCCGAGAAACGTGCGTTTGGAACAATTTCTGAGCTCACGGACCGTTGGGAGTGTCGATCCATTACGTTCTCTGCAATTAGAAAGAGAGAGAAAAGAGTCCAAGCACTACCCGCAACATACATACATACTTACGTGCTCTGCTTACACGGCACGGCTCCTGCGCGCGCGTAGTGCCCTGAGACGAGACCAGACGACACCAAGACGAGACGAAAAACCCAAGTCCAGACTTAGACTACCCGAGGGGGAGGAGCGCGCCGTTGGAAAAACGCAGGAACCCATCTTAGTCTTTGGGACCGACGGCACATGGAAGCTGAATGCGCTTTCTCTCCTCTCAAGTTAGTCCGTCTGGTCGTAAGCGCCAGTCTCAACGGCGTCTTTTTCATGGCGTTGTGGGCAAAATACATTTACTAGAGACAACGAGTTCGTCAAGAGACGTTACATCAAGGAGACTTCACAAGGCGAAAATGTTGAAGTTCTGCAGAGTGACAAATGAACAATAAATGATGTGTTATCTACAACCAACAAGTTTTACAGACAAGATCGTTATAAACATTCAGCTGGGGCATGCCGACGCAACGAATGCCCCCCAAAAGCAACAGACAGAAACCTGCTTCTGCGGCAGGGCCTCCCAAAACAACAACATGGCTTCGGGGTATCATCCACAAGAAATTGTTTCGCTATCGTGACAAGGGCACATCTCCTTCACACACTACGACCGCGATGGCTGCTCATTCGAAGCCGGTCGACTATTCGTAAGCTCCGTTATGCTTTCACTCTCGTAGTTTTTTGTCCTGCGGTTCTGGCTCGGGATCTTGAACTGGTCGCTGTGCCTGAAACTACCCACAATTTCCGTCACATCTGGCCGTCGAGACGAATATTTAATATCGGTCCATAGCGTCTTGCAGGCCTTCCATGAAGTCACCACATAGATGAGCGCATTCCAGAAGCCCTGAAGCGGGAGAACAAAGGCACTCATAAACTCTAGCGGCGTCGAAGACTCCTTGGTGTGTATGACCGAGTAGACGCGGTTGGCGCTCGACGGGACCCAGGTGATCAAAATGACTGTAAAGAACAGGATCGAACACTTGGTGTAAGACCAAGCCGCGTTGTTGAGCTCGTAGTTGCGTCGACGAGCAGAGTTCATCGGCCGCTGGGCGGAAGTATCCGCCGTGTTACTTTCGGTAGGCGGGATAGCCGCTTCGGCTTGTGATTCATTGCGGCTATAGCGATTGGCAGAAATGCTGACAGAGTAAGCAGCGTTGGGTAGTCGTGGGACTGGCCCGGCTTCCGAGCCACGTCTTCCCACTGTGGCAAGACCAATAGAGCCCTGAGGCTGATCCATCGCTTCCGAGGTGACGTAGACTTCGGTCGTCTTCATCGAGGTTAGAACGTCGTGGAACGAGTTCATTTGGTCGTGGTCCGAGGAGCTAAAATTGTGAAGCTGCTTTCGCTTTTGGTAGATTTCTCGGCCCGCGCGGATGTAGATGAAGAAAGTGATCAAAATTGCAATCCTGGAACAATTAGCAAAGCCCAATTGAAGCGACAAATAAACCTACCAAACGGGTCCGTAGAATGTGAGAATGCGCCAGATCTCCCACTCAGGTCGAATCCAGCACCATAATGTCGCGTTGCCATAGACCCTCAATCCATCGCCGTTCCTGACAAAGACATAGACCAGGGCTGGGATAAAGGGAATTCCATAACAGCAAACGAGATACGGTATCTCCATTCTCCGTAGTCTTTCGGCGTCGAACTTGTAGTAGAATGTCAAGTAGACGTTGATAGCCATAGTAAGCGTCCAAAATGCATCAGCCGGCATGAACCTGCAGTGTGTTAGTCGCGAACCAGTAGCGGGGCCGATATACCAACATTTGAACTAGGAACGCCTGAA